CAAAATCAAATTTCTGTAAGCCAGCAGCACATGGAAAATGTCTGTAATGACACTGTCAGTAATAAGTAATGGAAACAATCCAGCTTTCTATCAACATTAAAAAGAGACCCAGAAATTATTGTATAATAGCATGATGGAATGTATTTATGACTGAAAACCAACAGACTGCAGCTACAAGCAATAACATGGATGAATCACTGGAATATAACACTGAAGAAAGTAAGTTATATAAAATTCCATGTGTATAGTTTTAAAACATGGAAGTGATTAAGCAGATGTGATAAAGCTACAAAAAAAAGCAAAACACAAAATCCAGAATGGCATTCTCTCAAAGGGAAAAATGTAAGAAGATCCCAAGGAAGAATGCATAAGATAAATTTCAGAGATAACATAACGTTCCTTATGTGGTCTAAATATGTTATAAACATTTTAATGTCATTTTTAACTTTCAAAGTTACAATTAACAGAGTGAACAACAACACAGTTTCTCTGCCTAGCCCGTTCTCTATGTTTATTTACAATTGGAGGAGTAATGGTATCTCATTATTTTAAAACACCATGAGAAAATTTTCTCCAAACTCTACTCAATGTTGGTTTTTAAAAGAAATCCAAAACTGTCTGCTAAATAGAATCCCTTCATAATATTGATTATTTGCTATTAAAACATAATGTTGATCATCTGCCATTAAAACAATTACCACATTTGCACTGACATTTTAATAAGTATCTTTTAATCTTAATATACCCCAACTACAAATAAACTAAAAAAAAGAACAAAAACTTGAAAGCACAGTCATTTTAATAAGTATCTTTCAATCTTAATATACCCCAACTACAAGTAAACTAGAAAAAAAAAGAACAAAAACTTGAAAGCTATTCAAACTTTGTCATGGTCAATCATAATAATATCAAAAACTCTGGTGATTTTGTAATGTAAATGGCACATATATAAAATGTTTTTGGATGAATTAATGTTAATTCTTTGCTTGTTTGGTCTTTTTAAAATATTGTTCCAATTTGTTACCCTTTAATCACTATAATAACACAATTTTTAGGTCTTCACAAAAAATAACCCCGGTTCAGTAGAAGTGGTAGAGGGGGTGTGGTTCTCAGTGGTTTCACTGAAACTACACCACGAGTTTGACAGGAAAAAAAAGATTTGACTGTATCCATGGCAATATAGTTTTAGGTAACAGTGAACCCCCGACTAGATTGCTGCCAGTGATAAACCCTGAATGTTTAAGAGAAATCAGTTGTATGGTCCCCAGTAGAAACCTGTTTGTCTAGTTCCAAGTCTTAGATTGCTTTGAAATCTTGAGGTAGTTTAAGGAAAATCAGAAGTACACATAATATGAAAATATGTTTTACATCACTTATGTTTAAAGTAGTCCAACCATATGATCACAAGCAGGGTATGTTTTGCCTTTTTTTTTAGACCACACAAAATATAAATGGTAAACAGACTACACTATCAAATACATTATGTTTAAGCACATATAATCATCTTTAGTTGTGGACAAAACACCAAGGTAGGTTTAGATAGGACTATCCACGTAGCAAGAAATCAACACATTCTAGGTTTCAGATGAACTTAAGTGAATAGCTCTGATTTTGCTTTGCTCTGGATTATGTGTTAGAAAAATAGTTTGAAAGAAGCATGTTTAAAATGCCTGAGAGACGAGTGCTTTGTAAGGTAAGGCTCTATTTCTAAACTCTTCTATTAAGCATGTGGGAAGTGGCTAACTGGCAGCCTGTGAAAACCTCTTACTAGTGCATTCAGGATCATATAATGAACATCAGTATACACCAAAACAGGAAAAGTGATCAGTAAACATGATTAGTACATTGTGCTGTCAAAAACAGAAAAAGAAGTGAGAAGGGAAAGAGCCATAAGCTTCCTGGCCCATGACAGCCAAGGACTGTTCCCTGTAATGTTCTGATGATCTATGGTTCTGTCTAGAGTATGGACATTAAGTCAAATTGTCTGCACAGAACTTAGGAACACATAGTTTCTGACCAAAAGAACGTGACACAGAAGCAGGGTGACATTACTAACTGCATTATCTTCATACCATGGATGACAGGCCAGAGATCAGAGCTGGATTTTGATTCAAGTGAAATCTTCCATAAATGGTATCTAAGCACAAGCTACATAATCCAGAAACTCCCCCAGAGAAATTCCTATTATGTACATGAAAGAGAGAATGCAGCAGGTTCCATTTGGCTGAACAGAGAACATTCTTTGTTCAGCGAAATTCTGTGGTTCTTGTGTTTAGTGCCAACTGCAAGTTCATACTTGATCAAGGCCCCAAACATGAAGGAGTTAAATATATTGAAAAATGAGCCAGATGCCATAAACAGTGATGGGTAGTTCTGTCTCTAAAACATCAAAACCGCAAGGCAAGATATCAATAAGGCTATTATTCTTGTAATGTCTTTAGTGAAGAGTCAGTGTTATGATGATGCGTACTCCAGTTACCATAGCAAAATGGAATGGCATTATCTTTTTCTGTTCACTTCCTATTGATACACAAGTTAAAACCAAGAACTGACTGAGTACATCACCAGTGATTGTCACTCTGTGGGACTGACAGTCTCAGGGAATGCTTTAAAGTTGAAAGCCAGTGCACTATAAAATTAGAGTAGGAAATAAAGACACTTGGGTGAGGTGACTCAACTCAAATGTCACTCAACGAGGTCTTCTTGGACAAATTTAAAGTACTGTTTAGATGTTCCTTGATTTAACAAGGGTTAATTGAAAATATACGTCATTGTAAGTTGAAAATGTAAGTCAAAAATAATAGTTAATACACCTAAATTACTAAGCATCATAGCTTACCCTAGTTCCCCTTAAATATGCTCAGAGAACTTGCATTAGCTCACAGTTGGACAAAATCATCAAAAATAAACTCTATTTTAAAATCATGAATATCTCATGTCCACACAGAGATGAGCATTTTTTTAGACATGATGTGATGCAAGTCACAAAATATATTATCTAATAAAACCTTTGCAATATAGCACATTGTAAAGTATTGGTTGCTCATTCACATGAGCATGTGGCTGGCTGACCTGTCCAGCATGGAACGAGATGGTCACAGAACTGGCCTAGATGTATATTACTTTTGCATCATTATAAATTAGAAAATCTTAAGTTGAACCAAGTTGGTACCATCTTTTTTTTTTTTTGAATGCACAAAAGCTATTTATTCATAAGGCATTCAAATACTACAGGTCCAGTAAAAGCCCTGAGAACACGTATGTAATAGTTGGCGCATTGTTTCATATAAGTAAGAGGAAAAGAGGCTTGCATACAATACAAGGGAGGAAAAGAGGACTGTTTCTCCCTGTTTCACTCTTGTTGCTTTTGCTGTTTTCTGCTTCCTTGAACTGTTGCCCCTCTGCCATGCCACCCTGCTTTGGAGCCAGTAACCTCTACAAACTTTTTATGGACTGCAACCTTTACAAACTTTCCTTAACTTTGAAAGTTAGGTATTTTGTCCCAGCAATGAGAGAAAAGTAACCAAGACAACATCAACATTCTTTAAATGGTGCAAGAAGATAGTCGATGAAGAGCTAGATGATTTGGAGAAAGCACTTTTCTCTGCATCAGAACTTCATGATACTCTATTTCTCCAACCCTGCCTCCCACAGTAACACAGGTAGCTGGTGAAACTTAAAAAATACCAACCTGCTGTCACTAACTTACAGTCAAAATTCTATACATCTTTCTTCACTATCCAGCCACTCTTCAACACATTATCTTTAATAACTATAATATTAGAATTTTTAAGGTATTTTTATCCCTCTTCCCTGTTTGAATTTAGACTCCCAGAGACAAGAAGTTTGATGCTTCATCACTTTGTACCAAATATCCACATGAAGGTTGGCAGAGAATAAACTCTCAGTGGTTATTCACAGGTTGCTTTACCAGCTGCCAAAGAACACAGAGGTCAGTTATCTATAACATTTTTTTATGGAGTCCAAAAAATTCAGCATTCACACTGAAATGTCAAAAACACCACATATCAGAATGAAAAGACTTTAACTGCAGATGCAATTGGAATTAAATCTGTGCCTACTGGCAAAGTGGTCTGAAGCATCACCACTCCTGGCATGGGTTGGAAGCGTGGACCAGCAGCTTCTGCATCACTTAACAACAGTTTGCTAGCAGAGCAAATTCTGGGGCCACCACAGACCCAGGAATCTGAATGTCTGAAGATGAAGCCCAAGCATCTGTGTTTTAATCAAGCTCTTTCAGGGACTCAGCAACCTTCAAGTTTTGACAACAGTAGTTTCGATAAGTACCCTTCAAAGGCCCATGTGGTAAGGGCTTGGTCCTCAGCTTGATGGGTCCATTGGGAGCTTTCAGAGATGAGAAGCAGTTATGTGGTGAGGGGATTTTAAGGTACTGCCCATTCTCTTTTGCTCCCAGCCGTAAAATTAGCTGCTTGGCCCCCACGTGTGCTCCTGCCAACACGTGCTGCCTTGTCACTAGCCCAAAAGCAATGTTAACCACAAATCATGGAGCGAAACTTCTACAACTGTGAGTCAAACTAAACCTTTTCTTCCTACCAGTTAATTATCTCACGTTCTTGTTATAGTGATAAAAAGCTAATGCCACTGCTAATTGGGAAATAAACATTACATTACAGTAAGCTATCCCACTTAAGTGACTGCCATTCAGAAATAAAGGTGAAAATAAATAAGAAATGTTGTATTTGGATTTCTCCCAAAATGACTGGCATGTTCTAACTGGCATTTAGATTAAAAATAACAGGAACAAATGAGGAAGAAGAGAAATTACATGCAACATGATACACATGAATGAAGACAGAGCAGTTTGAACACACACCCACACCTGCTCACATGTTGTTTCCCTGAGATGTCCCAGACCATGACTGAACTGAAGGTTTTCTCTCCTTCTCTGGGGCAGCACCATGGCAGCTCTTTCTAAGAATCAGGGGAGCAGATGACAACTCAGAGAAGCTGTGCCCTACCATGATTCAGGTGCCTGACGCAGTCACTCAGGAGCGTGCTGAACCTCTTCTGGTCAGCAGCCTCCTGGAAGCAGAAGTAGCCATGTCTCAGGAAGGGCTGCCACAGGTACACGGGGAACGCCTTCGGCAGGACCACAAAAGGCTGAGAATTTTCCTTCTCATTGGAAGCTGAGGAAATAATAGAAACACAAATCATTTCAAAATACTTTCTTTCAAATACTTATTTCCAGATAGCTGTGAGGATATCCAGGGCAGGGGTGGATATTTGTTAGAGAAAATGGGAGTTCAGACTCCTCTCCATCTTTCCACCAGCTCTCCTGACTCATTCTCTCCTGGTTCTCCTCAGACACAGGCACAGCCATGTGACACAATCTTTCTCAACTCCCTCCTGTTGAAAATACCTGCAGACAGAGCTCCCTCTACCCACTGGTGCTGTGTGGGTGGACTCTTGTGGACCTCAGCCTTACTGCACACATTCACTGAAGGACACAGCTTCCCGGGCCTTCTCCCAAACCCTCTCACTGCTGTCTGTACCATCTGTTTATTCTCAGCCCACTAGTTCCTGAACTCAATGGCTGAGCTCACTTATGCATCCTGACTGCAAGCCCATGGCTGTTTATTTATTACCTGGACTTGTGATCCTACCAGATTAAAAGTAACAGGAACAAATGAAGAAGAAGAGAAATTACATGCAACATGATACACGTGAATGAAGACAGAGACACATGAATTGAAAACATCTCTACCCTTGACTTCCAGGAACATCTCTCACCTTGTTTCCTTTATGCTTTAAAAAAAAATGGTTTCTTTTTCGTCATCTTATTGCATCCTTAGCTCTCTTAAGTGCTGGTGGTTTCCCTGTTCTGTGCTGGCTTCCCCTCCACCCTCAATCTATACCATTTCATGGAACAGCCTAGTTATCCCATAACTTTTTATGTAGTTTCTGCAGTTTATTTCATCCTTTCTCCCTTCTTGTCCATCATGCTTTCCCTGAAAAATTCTCCTTCATCTTTCAAAAGTCAGTTCAGAAGCAACCTCCTTGTTATGGATTTTCTGCCACTAGAAAGCAGTAGGTATCCTACCTGGTTCCCCTAAAATACTGGCACCCAAGCCTGGGGTGGGGATGTTGGGGTGTGGGGCTGGAGATTAAGATGAGCTCCCCCATTTTCATGGGTCTCCTCCCTAGGAAGCAGAACCACAGTCTGAACTGTGGGCTCCTTGAAGCTTCATCTCACCAGTGCTTGTACCTCAGCCCACAGCACAGCAAGGACCCTAAGAGACCTTCACCTGAAGCATGTTGAGTGAACAGATGTGAAATGCAGAAAATTTCAGAAGCCCTAGAAGCATGAGACTTTTAGGGTGGGGAAGGTAGGTAAATGGTAGAGCATCGGCCTAACATATGTGAGACCCTGGGTTCAAAGCCTAGGGCAGGGGAGAAAGGGAAAAAGAAGGAGAGAGAGAGAGAGGAAGAGAGAGAGACTTTCCTCTCAAAATCAATCCCAAGAAACTTATGTTAAGCCACACTACTATTCAGAACCCTGACCTCAACATCATTCCCTCCATGCATTCCTACGACATGACATTGTACTTGGTTAAAAATACCACTTTCTTCCCAGATTTGCAAAGGACACACAGAAGGAAAAGTTAGTTATGTGCTCCCTACAGAATGGGCACCAGTGGCAGGGAAAGGAAGGACAGCAGAACCTCCAAGATGTTAGTGAAGGCACTGGCATACAAAACAATGGATCATAACCATAAGGGAGGCTCCAGCACTATGTCAGCTACTTATGTATAGAGGGGAGGGGAAGGAAATCGAAAAAGAATGAAGATGTGCTATGTATGTGTGCTAACTCCACACTAAGAATGTACTACAACATGTATTAAACATTAGGTACTGCAAACATGTACTAAAGAATAGCTTTATTGGGGGCATAGAGAGGAGCCCTGTTCCACCCTTCTAGAATCTGAAGCAACAGAGTGAAACGTCCTGGAGCACAAACTGGAGCCACACTGGTGCCAGCACAGCTCCCAGCACAGCATAATACAGGAATGAATCACAATATGAATTTAAAACAGAGGAATAAAGGAATAAATAGTTGGATGTTTTAGAGACCTTTAGTTATAACATAATATCTCTTCTCCCTTTCTTTCTCAGTAATAAAACCTACGATTTTTACTTGGCCAAGTGACAGCACAGAAAAGATTGTGCACACATTTCCAGCCTCCCTTACAGTTTGGTAGCCCACAGCTATTAAGCTCTGGTCAAAAGGAGGCAAACCAAAGTGGTATGTGAAAACTCCTAGAGGTATCCATAAAGATACCTTCCTTCCTTCCTACTGTCTGGAAAGAGATAGCTGCAGCTTCAGCAGCAGCCCTGGATTCTGATAAGAATCACAACCCGGAAAAAAGAGGGAGAAAATCCCAAGTCTCTGACAAACTTATGGATCTGCCATGCCAGGATTGGAAAAATACTGAAATATTTTTGTGAGATAGTGAGACCTTATTTATTTAACTGGAATTTTTTTGCTGGGATACAGCAATAAGTTTCTAACTAATAAAATGCCTAACAAGTGAACAACTTTAGCAAAACAGGGCACTCTTGATACAACATATTAGTGTAACACTGTAAGAAACACATACTTATTCATAGATCTCTACTGCCTTCTTTCAAGAAAGGTTAATTGCTCCTAATTTTGTGGTACCTAAATTTATTCTTTCCAGTAGAAATAGTATCACACAATGAGTGCTCTTGACTACCACGGTTTTGTGAAACAGTTCTCAGGGCTCTTTCCAAGATGTCACAGTCTTGTACAAACAATTGAAAGCAAAATTGACCCCCTGCATTTAAAAATTTCAGCGAGACCAATAAAATTCACAATTACCCACTATTTATCTCTCTCTTAACCTTTTGCAACAATTTTCCAGATGCCATTAGTCTGCATATTTTCTGAGTTGAGTTATTAAGGGATCACAAATGATCCACTGTAGAATATTCTATCTTTACAATTAAGAAGGCCACACCACACAATAAAAATAGCCATTGAAATGTTCCAGTCTGAAGCCGTGGGCTAACTGGCATTACTCAGATAAGGCTTGTGGGTTTTTTTTTTATTTCTTTTCATTCCTCTGATATGATTTCATCAATAAATCAATAAAGGTATTGTCTGTTCTCATAGGTTTTGTTGGAAAGTTCTGGGGAGATTCTCAAGAGTCAACATGTTGCTGACCTCAATTTCAAGACGCAGTTGCCAACCAAAGCGGTACATAAATAGATGTTGCCAGAAAATATAAACCATAATAATATGAATAGTGCACACAAAGTGTTGTTTTAGCCTGAAGTACATAGTAATAATTTGTTAATTTAGGTTTATGCTCTATATACCAATCCTACAAATTGTGTTATTAAAAACATCATGCTAAACATTCTACACCAAAAAAAAAATTTGTTGAAATGATTTCATTTTCTCCCATAAAACCTAATGATTTATTATTAATGGGAACAATCATCGCACCAGGACTCTCTTCAAGAACCAAGTAATTACTCTGTGTGTGCGATTTACACAAAGAAGTACTTACTATCTTATCCACAGCTTGTGAATTTCTATGAGGTCCCTTATTTATCCATCCTTTTCTCTAAGTTTTAAAAAGTGGAGTTAAAGAGAATCAAAGAACAGCGGAGCTGGAAAGATACTTCCAGATCTTCAAGTTCAAAGCCCCATTTTAGCATTGGAGAAACAAACTAGAAAGGTTCAGCACCCTACTCATGTAAAACATTTTGTAAAAGCTGAGCTAGAATTAGATAAAATCCAGGCTCCAAACTCTTGGACCAATGCTCTTTCTAAGGCAGATCCAAGTTTACTTATAGATGGGTCAATTGATGCGATGTTTCTATTCAGTAGCTATGTTACCGTGATATTTATTTAAAGGGTTTTTTGTCACTTTAGGATATTTTATTGAATATCACCCTAAAATTAGAATAATAAAAAGAACAATTCTTGAAAGGTCTTGGCCTGTGTACTAAAAAGCTGGATCTTTTTTTTTATTGCTTTCTCTTTCTTACGTTCCAGTTTCCCCTATCACAGTTTTCATTTTTTTTTAACAGTTTCTAGTATATGTAGTTAATATAGTTATACAGCTAGCTTCTATTTGTTCCTCAAAAAGAATGTTTTGTGCTAACATTGTTTAGACAAGATATCAAGGCTCTATTCTATACTCTGAATAACTACTAGGAAGACAACAATACATAATATATCAACTATTGTAACTGTCCTAATAAGGACTTTTGAAACTTGGTTTCATTGGGTTTTTTTTCTCTTTAAAATAAAAAAAAAACTTTAAATTTTTAAAAGCAGGATCATACATTTAACAGACTGAACCCTGCTGGTTTATTTGTACTGCTTTGAGTGGTGCTATGAAAGCCTGCAATATATTCCAAAAGCTTCCAGATATCAGACTAATAGCAAATTTTCCATGTACTAGAAACACAGTAACTAACTTGGGTATTACCGAATGCCATGTGAGATAACACAAGTGGTACCAAGTTCACCTTAATTAGAGAAATCACATCTTCCACTAATATTTTTTATTTTATTTCCTCTAAGAAACTCCAATGTGAACCCTTTATTCAGCCATGTTGAATCCCTGGTATTACTAATATTTTATGCGAGGTAAATTGTCATTTTTGTAGAATGTCAGCATCTTTAGGCTGTACCCATTGTCTTTAGTACCCATCTTCTGATTATGACAAACAAAAATGCCTCCAAATATTGCAAATATCCCTGGAAAGTGAGACCTCTCTTCCCCACTCACTGAGAACCGCTGGTTTATTTAAACCAAGTAGTTTAGGAATTATTAATTTGAGAAAGGTTGCTCAGCAACTTACCAATGGGATCTGGGAAATGCTTGTCAGATAATAGATTATATTCATCTTCTGAGGTTAATACCTTGCCACCAGCTGGAAGAATTCGACTTTTAGGAACAGCTCCTTTTTGATAGGCCTGGGAAGAAAATGCACAAATAAAAATTGTCCTCATTTGGATTTCTGGAAAATATCAGAAAGATTAAAAGTGGATACATATACCCAGATGTAGCAATTCTCTACACTATGTTACTGAGTTAAAGCCATTTATTCCAAAAATAAGTTTATTAGGAATGCTACTTGCAAGGTATCTAGTACTTCTATGTGACTGTCACAGGACAAATCAGAGTTCTTAATCTCAGGAAGATTTCTCAGTATGTTCTCAAATGGGGAATCTCAGTAACATCTAGTTAGTTTGCATCATATTTACCACTTCAGCACTAGTGCCCAAGTCATTCTGATAACCACAAGGGTGATCAGCATAAAAATGATGCACAAAATGGTTGGTGACTGATGTAGGCCAGGTATGATGATTAATGATGCTGTGGAACATGCACTTGTAATGATGGTTACCATAGATTTTCATCAAAAATATTAATGTGTTGCTATGGCAAAAATATGTCACTACTTTGCCCTCAGAAATTAATGCTTTGCAGTGAAACAATTGAGAGAAAAGTAGTTTTGTGACATCAGAACAAATTCTGGCCAGCAGACAAAAAGCTCTCTGAGAAACTTAAAAAGAAGCACAGGGCATTTGCTGAAGTCATTATGTAGACACCCCCAACCCCGCCCGAACCGCAGAAAAGATAAAATTAAGTAAGTGCATCTGATGGGAAGGCTTATTTCCAGACAAAAATTTTAAACTAACAATCTCAGGGCAAACTGACAAGAAACTGTGGGACTCAAAATCTTGAGTGTACTCTTGAGAATAACTAAAATAACGTTGATCTAGGCAACAAATTTAGATTCTCATAAACAGTCTGTATTAGTAAGATAGTGACTGAAGAGATCCAAATAAATCACTCTCAAATATCCAAGAGGCTTGTTTCCACACTTGCAAGAACTACCAATCAAATGCTCAAACACAGCAGGGACTCAGAGTTTAACAGAGAATCTAAATTTGTGTGATTTTGAGAAAGTTTAGGTGCAATTTGATTCAGATCAGTCTCAAATATGAATTGTTATTAGAAACAAGCCTCAATATTAGCTTTTATAAACATGATGTCACTTAATCTTCTAAACAGCACTATAAATTAAGTACTGTCTGCATTTTACAAGTGAGAAAAATGAAGATCCAAGAGGCTGAATAACTTGTCAATTGTCTGTCAGTGAGTAGGTAACAAATCAGGATTCATGCTCATGTCTGTAGGAAGGAGGAACTTACTATCAAATGAGAATACTATAATGTTCCTGCTTAATTACCAGCAAAATTGGACTCTCAGTAAAATAATATGCAATTAATAAGTCCTTAATGTATAAATCTTACATGCAAATTTTAAAAATACTTCTATAAGTTAAAAAACAGGTTTTTTATTAAAGCTAAGCAATTATAGCAAAGTACATGGACTTTTCCTTTAAATACCCAAGTGAGTTTTTAAAAATATTTGGCTATTCTTAAATTTAGTCATCATATCTTAACAACCTAAACATGCTGTTGAAAATAATGAGCAAAGAAAGCAAGGGATATAAAGCATAAGTTGCAAGTTCAGGGAGTAAGTTTTTAAAAGTGAAGAGAGAAAGAAACACTAAAATTTGATTAACAGAAAATGCAGTTAGTGTCAAACATACCAGCACAGTCTTCATGAATATTTACTCCCAATTACTTAGAAATAATCATATCAACAACTGCTCTATACTGGGATCAACCACAGGCTAAGCATATCAATGCATTCATTTACTGAATTCTCACAATAGCACCATGACAAAGGGTTATACCACCTTCTAGATGAGAACACTGAGGCTCAAGGAGATTCATAACTTTGGCAAGGACACTCATATACCAGTTGGCAAAGATGTAATTAAAAGCCCCTGGTACTAACTATTACACAGCACTGCTTCTACTCAAGCTTCCCTGAAAAGACATTGTAAAGGACCATGGAGAATATAAGATTATTTCTTATCTCTACCAATATTATTTGTATTATATTTGGTAATTTGTTTCTGGGCACAAATTATGTGTTGAATGAAATTCTAATATAGTCAAGCAGAGAAACCACTAGTTCATTCAGTGTTGAAGAAAGTAAGTCTGTTTAGGAAAGACCTTGAGCTTTGTCTGGCAGCCTGCAAAACAAGTTTGCACTGTATTTTATTCCAAATTTTCATCAGAAATGGGAAGGAAGTACATGGTCTGTCAGCCGGAAGGTTCCTCCAAATGGTTTAGCATCAGAGGGATCACTCAGACTACTCCACAAAGTGTCCCCTGGTTACCTCAAACTCAAGAGTCAACAGAGCAGAGTTTACAATCTGTTATGATCTTTAACTGATAAATCAAACTTTTCATTTCCAGGGAAACTGACCATCTATGTAGATTAAAACTGTGCACAGTATGAAATCTGGAATGAACCCTGGAAGCATTTGACCTAATTCTCTATTTTAATAGAGGGCCCAAGACACTGTTACTTGTCCACTTCTAGTCAGTGACACAGTGACCTAAACTTCACTCTTTCAAATGCACTGCCAATGTCCTTTCTCTTATATCATATTACCTCCTACAAGGTAAAAAAGAATCAACTCTCAGGTGCTAGATGCTTTACATATATTATTTCATTTCTCTACATTAAAAAATAATAATAACCAGGGAAAAAGTGAAAAAAATCCTTAAGGATAGGTGGCATAAAGGATGTGGAGTGGTTTAATTCCTAGGAATACAGCCAGTTCAGTCACAACCTTCCTGAATAACTAACTCCTCAGCCTTCTATCCTATTACAGGATTAATAACGAGAAGATATGGAGAGCAGAGAAGGAAAGACATTAGGGTAACCTAACTGATAACAGGCAAGACTCCTATCCCAAACCAATCAGTCAGCATGACCTTCTATTTTCACTCACCTGCCACCACGTATTCCAGTCCTGTCCACTAGAGAGTAAGCATTTGTCCATCACTGGCTATTTACCAGAAATAGAATAGATATTCCAAGAATAACTGCTCACTGCAATGAGTGAGGGCTTACTGAAGCAGTGAGTGGCCAAGGAAAGGACATGCCAATCAACCAAGTCAATTTGATAAGAATACCGCAAGAACCAATGATAACAAGGATGCATCTTACCTCTTTGCTATCATAGCTTTCCACAGAAAAATCATTTTTAATCACAACGTATCTGTCCTTCCACTTCTTTATGTCTTCTGCAAACTGTGAGATCTCTGCTTCATATAACACAGTTCCGGGTTCCAGTGGCGGCTTAAAGAAGACAATATAATTAACACAAACTTCGTTACCGTAATGCTATTCATTATTTCAAAGACTATTTAGGGGATCCTGGTGAAATTGTTGTTTCCTTCTTTTTTCCATAATTTCCCTTTCCAACTCCTTTGACCAAATGCAAGTATCTGTACTAGAGTATTTTTATTGTTTTCATTTTCTTCTGGTATACTCTAGGTACAGAAGCATAGAGTAGAAAAGATTATAGTAATAAGGTTTGTGCTTTGTTTTTCATGTGGCACTTGATAAACGCTCAGTAAACTATGAAAAAGGAAAGTGTGCACATCTACCCAGCTCCCTGACAAACCTCAGAGTTAATTCTGAAAAGTAGACCACTAACAATTCGCTCCCCCTCTTTAGCACACCATCAGGCATACTTCAAATGACAAAGTTCCAAAGGCTTTTCCCCACAGCCATGGGGACACAGGCGATTAACACCATTCATCCACGCCTTCCTCAAGGAAACCACACCGGGTTAAAGAACAAGGAAAGAGGCATCAAGCCATTAAATCTCAGTTCTGCCTCCTTATTTAAAAGGCTAAGCATCTCTCATTAACTTTGTTATATGTGCTGTAGGAAAATTTCCAGGAGATTTCTAATTAGGTCTTTGATAGGGTTTATTTACTGCATGACAATAACTTGCATATTGTCTTACTGTATAATATCCATATTATTTCAAAATACAGGAATGGGTCTCTTAGACATGTCACTGAATTTATACATATTTCTTCAAAATTAAAAAAAATCACAGTGCCTTCAGAAACCTATCTCTGTGCAAAAAATTTACATGAACCATACAGAGAAGATAGGCCTATTTCTGCACAGGAATCAAACTCACAACCTTATGCTTGCCAGGCAGGCACTGTGCCAGTGAGCAATTATATTCTCAGCCAAAGAGGCCTATTTCTTTCAAGAACTGTCTGAGGGCTAAAATAAATTTTCTTCCTAATTTCAGTACTTAAAGTCTGTTCTGACAGATAATGAGGCAGTTTCCTATCTGACCTCATTAAAAGAGAAGAAAGGACCTCACTTTCTCTAAATGAAACTATGGTGTAAACTGAACTTACAGCTCTTACGTGCACTTTTCTCAAACTTAGGCCACTTAATCAACGGGTAAGCTCATTAAAAATGTGCTTCAACCTAGACTTACTCTACCACATTCTCGGAGGGAATGTATTAGAATTTGCATTTTTAACAAGCTCTCTTAAATTTGAGTCACAGTTTAATAGGGGAAATAGTTATTCCTGTACACCTGTGCTACTAAATCTACTAGTTAACCTCTGAGAAGTATTAGATTCGCTCATCACTTACTCCTTTTTGAAGCCCCTTCTTCATTTACCTTGTGATACATTACACTGTCCTGATTTTTCTCCTATTCCTCAGCTGTTCCTTAGTCCATATGGCTGGATCCTTCTCCTCTCTCTTATCTCCAAATGATGAGGGGGTTAGGACACTGCTTCTTTTCTCTGTTACAATTCTCTTCCAAGCATACCATCTGGCTTTACTATTGGTTACAGGCTAACATTCCTAAATTTGTATTTTCCAGCCTCAGTTTCTCTACTGAACTCAGGATCAGAATATCTGTTATGGTTCATCAAAAATACCTCCCAAAGGTTCATGGGTTAGAGATGGACTGTGTGCGCATGAGAGCGCTATTCTCATCAGCAGATTAATTAATCCATTTATGAGTTCTTAGCTGAATATGTTACTGGAAGTGGGGCCTGTGTGGAGGAAGTAAGTTTCTGCAGGAGAAACCTGAAAGAGTATGTTCCTGATCATGAGCCCCTTCCCCTCTCTCTGGCTCTTCCTCACTCTCTTTGTTCGCTGGCTGCCAGGTTGTAAGCAGCATTCCTCCGCCATGATGTTTCTGTCTTGAGCCCATCAATCATGGACTGAAACCTTTAAAACCATAAGCTAAGGTAAATCTTTTCTCCTTTAACTTGTATGTGTTGAGTATTTTGTCCCAGCCATGGAACACTGACAAATACAGCATTCAACTGCCTGTTCAGCATTTCCACAGGTGTTTGTTGAACACATATTGCAAACTTTAACGTGGCAGCACTAAAGTCATGATTCTTATTTATCTCTGATTCTACCTTCTGACTAGAAAGCAACTCCGTTCACTTATTTACTCAGGTTAAAGATTAAGTAACCATCACTGATTTCTCTCCTCTTAACTCATAGCAATTTCTATAGCTCTATCATAAATATCTCTTCTCTTAACCACTACCCCACTACCACCCTACCATCCTAGTCCAATTCACCATTACCTTTCTCCTTTCTCCTAACCTGATGCATTATCCTCTTTGTCAGTTTTGTGAAAGTTAATTAATCTAACACAGTAAAAAACAATACATTAAGAGGTTCAAGGAGAAAATCACCTTGATCAGTGAACAAAATAAAAATGTCCATAGCAGCTAGGCACAGTGACACAGGCCTATAGTCCCATATTCCCAGCTAGGCAGGAGGCCGAGGTGAGAGAACTAGTCAAGCCCAGGAGACCAGGCAACCAGGGCAAGACCTCATCTAAAAAAAAACATTGTCCATAGCAGCACAAGACACAGAAAAAAACTGACTTTTTTAAAAGCTGCACTTTACTACAACAATGTAAATTTCCTGATATCAAAGCATCAATGAGGAAAAAAAAACCAAATGAAATGGAATGATGCTAGTTTTCTTTTTTATATGGATTGTACTATCCCCAAGACATCACATATATTCCAACTTTTAGGCAAATAGACATTTTTGAGTATGAAGTGATGTCAAAGCAGATTTTTTAACTGCCATTCCAGTAATTGTTCATTTATGAAATATTATAAACTACAAAAGTTCCTTCCACAGGAGAAACACATGGACCACATGTTTATTGTTACCTTGGTCTTCAGAAATTGTGATGTCAGATCTCTTTGTTGTTCAACTTCACTGCGCACATGGTTGCAGAAAGCCACTGAGTACTGCCGACTGTAGTAGGGACTGAAGTTTTTAATAGCAGCTTCAGTTTTCCCTGGAAAAATATAAAAATTGGAATTCTGAATTATAGCGTACCTCACAAAGGGACGTCTTATCTGCATAATCATATAAACATCCTTCCCATCTCTGTAACTCTCTGTGTCCCAAGGATTTGTTACCAACCTGTGTTCCCTGAGAACTTGTCACCTGCCACAGGTGACTGGACCTCTCCCTCCTCTTCTGGCATTATCCCCAGAGACTTCGGGGAACCTAGGGACTATCCATCCAATAGCAAAAGGATTTCTCTTCATTGTACATTGTACCCACGGCCATGGCAATAAACTCAACTACTCTTCTAATCCTTCTAAAATTAATCTACCTCACTCTCTCTCCACTTCGGTCTGCTCACTATTCCCTCTCAACTGCCAGACATCCAACACCCCCTACCCAACAACAATCCCAGATCTACCCTTTAAACTTATGTATCTGACCCACAGTCCTGGGGAAAACTAAGTTTCCTCTTGCTGTGTTTCTGTTCTTCTGGTTTAAAAGACTTTTGTGATTCAAAGCATTGCATGATTTCAATGAGGAGGAAGGGAAACTGTGGTGAATGATATGGAGTCCTGGATTAAAATCTCACTTCTATTCGTGAGACAGAAATCAGCTATCGGGACCTCAGCTGAGTCACTCAGCTCTCCCCACTCCAGCTTCCCTGACTTGATGGGAGATGCTCACTGCTCCCAACTTGTCTCTATGTGACATGAAGAATAATCCTGAAGGTACAGCGGCTTCACAGTAGTGACTGGCACTATAACACAGCCTCCCACATCAGACGCAAATTAAGCTGAGTGTCCACAGCACTGTGGAAGCAGGAGGCCTGGAGTTGGAGGGAGAGTTAGTCTTTTCCAAGCCCTGCTTAGGTCTGGGTAATATGAGGGATGAACACATGGGAGAGAAAGAGCAAAAAACATATGCTATCAAGCAGATTAGAAATCTTCCCAACATTTCAAGTACTTGATACAGAATACAGAAATAAACACAAGTTTCACCATTAGTGTTGACAAGCAAGTGAGCCTATGAAATAAATACATAACATTCCAAAATATTTTTCAATGCTTCATGTGAATTTAGCACACTTTTTCAAATTTGAGATTATAGTCAACAGAAAATACTAAAATATAACAAGATATTTTAAACCTATAATGAATGCAAACATTTCAGAAATAAGTGAAGAATTGTAACCATGTATATTGAGATGCTCAATAAAGAGAACCTTGATCCTGTTTATGTTTACAAAATCAAATTCAAAAACATTCAAAGCATATGATGATGCCTTCTATAGACAGAGAATAACACTTTTGCTGAGGTATTTCAGTCTTATAATTGGGATAAAGGGGAATTCTTTCATATTCCCCTAATAAAATGACATTTGCTGCTCATGTTTATGGGCTTTAGTAATTATTACTTTTAAGGTCCTGGCAGACCCACTAATAGTAGATTCTGTAGAAGTGCAAATAAAAGCCCCTATAATTTGAATCAGGAATGTTTTTGCTTGCTCTGTGTTTATAGTATTACAATTAATCAGCATTTGCATAATGCTTTAATATACTCAGGCTTTATACCCATCTGATTAGTTATTAGTTTATTAGCCTTTATTAAATTGCATAAGTAGTAAAATACTTTATCCTTGTCTGTAATTTTCTTACAGAAGAATGAAGTATCTTTGAGAATTCCCACAACGAAAATGAGTCTCAATTTACTAAAACATATAAATGATTAATAATAAAATGTGCCCTGTAATTCCAACTAATCACTGTTTGGATTGTCAGTAGAGCAGCAGGTTAATTGCTGATGCTAGTTTTTCATTCTTGCAAGCACTTGGAATCAAATGAAAGAAGGTGGTTGTCATTTTACAATGAACTGTGCAAAGCTTTTAAAGCTAGTCTGCAGCATCACCACTCCTCCCCCAAGGACACGCTGCTTCTACAGAGGTGCTATGATGCCACATTACCTTCTAATGTACAAGAAAAAAGCTTCTGTGGTTAAAATATCTATATAGAGTGCCATCAACTCATCATTCCCGAGGTAGCACTTATAAAGAAAGGGTCACAGCTTTCTTAGTCATTGTAATTAACCTAATGGCTAGTTCAAAATGTGAATAAAATAACTAACATCACAAGTTCTAGGGATAAAAGGATTTAAAACTATTCTCCATTGTATTTCGATTTTACATTAAATCTATCTGAACCCAGAAAAAGGACTCTAGAATCAGATAAACATGGTTTCAGTCCCCTCTTTACTACTTGACCAGCTGTGGAACTTTATAAGTTAGTTTTTCTTCCTTCTTATATATAAAGTGAAGACAGCAGAAGCAACACATAGGGATATGGTAACAATTACATAAAATAATAAAGTGTCCAGTGCTATAGCTGGAATACAGAAGTGTTCAATAATTGGTAGTAATTAAAATCATGATCATAATGGTGATGATGGTTCTAAGAGACTGGCCTCAAGCTGAGCTAACAAATTAAGAACTCACAAAGCAAGTTGTCAATCATCACTCTTGAACTGGAAACAGCATAATCTGCTGCATACCAAGTAGCCACCTACTCTGGTAGGCTCAAAACAAATACAACCTCCATCTCCACAGACTGTTCCAGTACAAGAGGCACTGAATTAAGATTAACTAAATAAAACATTAGCATTAATGAGCTGAGGGCAAAAAATCATGAGTTAATAGCTGTATTACATTGAGCCTCTCTGAGCATCAACTTTGTCAACTGTAACATAGGGAACAGAGGATTTTTTGAGGAGTAAATAAAATTTTTATTTTATTTGTAAAGAAGCGTCTAGTGCAGTGCCTGACTACACATTAGTTGGCCAATAAACTTTGACCATAATTTAATATCCTACAGTAAAATATTCAAATCAACAAGTCAGCTCACGAAAGCCACATAAAATAAACTTGGCAAAAACAAGACTGCTTTTCACAGTTTTCAAGATTTGTGAATACTAAATTTCTTTCATTCCCCTGCCCCCAAATTTAGTATAACATCCACTTTCCTATTTGTAAAACACAGTGCCTGGTGTTCCTTGAGAAGGTTGTTACTGAATAACAGAAAGACTAGAACAAATGGAAGGACTTCTTCTGCATTTTGGTATGTGCATTTTGGCATTTTGACACAGGAATATTTCTTCAAATCTACTCAACTATAACATATTCTGGACACATGGTTCAATTCATGTGACCAAGCTCCTTCTGATCCCCTCAGAATAATCCTCACTAAACTCAAGAACCTCCTTCAACACCTCTACCTACAAAACTTACCTGCACTTCACTTTGTAAAAATAAGAAAAAGTACCTGCTGGGCCTTTGTACACCCAGGTTTAAAAACCTGGCACTTTTAATTCTCCTCCGCTCCTATGTTCAATCATCAGATCCTGTCATTTCTCTTTCTATAATATCTCCTGAATCCATCTCAACCATCATACCTTCTATGAAGGTTTTATTATCTCTCAACAATTGAAAAAAAAAAAAAACGCTTAATCTGTCCTACATCAGTATTACAGCATGGTGGAAAATTTTAACTAGATCTCAGCTCTGAAACAGGAACAAAAAAGTCAAAAGCAGAGTGGAAGACAGAATGCAAGAGCTGACACACAGATCCTGGATGCACGTGGGAAAGAAGCCACATGGCGCTAAGAAGATTCTGAGAAAGGCTGGAGTCTGGGACTGATGGGGTACAACAGAAGAAGCCACAACTAAGCTGTCTGCCTTTGTCCCACCCAAGATGACTCAGGTACAAATTACCAAGGCCCAGGCGTTAAAGTGAGGAACCATCCTTCAGAACCAAGTCATATCCTGCTAGGGAACCCTTGAAAGTCATAAGGAGACATAAACCTCACTAGCCATACAGAAATAGGCCTATAGATGATGATTTGCCAGGTTTCATTTGACACAGTGCTGCCAGCCTACATCAACATATTCATAAAATTCCCTTAAGAGTTCCCTGCAGGGTGGAGTAGGAACTCTCACCTCGCACTAAAAGGAATGGCCCCAGTTGTCAGTATTTCCCAGTTCTTACCCTCAAACTGAAGCTGCTTATTCTTTTGGATCTCTATGCATAACCAGCCTTCTCTCTTTTTTTTCTTTATTGCCTATCAACCACTTTCAGACTCTTCAAGCCCAGATGACAATCCCAACCCCAAAAACAAGTTTTTTTGGATCATTCCAGCTGCAAACAATCATACCTTCTTTTGCATTCTCACAAAACTTTGCACCACTTTTGCTACAGCTGTTTAAATATGGCTTATCTCTCCTCCAAGGGCATACTGTATTTACATAATCATCAAATATTTGCTGAATGAGTGAAAGAAAAGTTGAGTAAATATTCAAAACTAAAGCAAATTACAATGCATTGTAATAATGAAATCCATACCTATGTTCCCAGAAAAGGAGAAAATAGTTTTCAGCTGAATATTTACTATTCAAAATATATACTCTCAAAGCCCAATACATATTTGTATATCACGCCTACTTAAAACCTACATGAAATCTCAAGAACCAGAATTTGTACATTTTCTCATTCTAGAAGATTCTCTTAAAACCAGCTCCCAGCCCTATAGCAGTTCAACTTAATTCCCCTATTTATCAAAAGTCCTTCCTGAAAGATACTATGCATAGTAGATTATCCCTGGTTCCTCATTATTCCCAGTGTGACAACTCTGAAATATTCTAAAAGCTTCCCTAATTAATACAGATTTCTCTGTATTTCATTTACCTTCCAAAAATGCTCACAACACAAGATATAAAAAATCCAAACACTATTTTCCTATACTTTTCTTCTGATATTTTTAAATAAAGACTGTTGTATTTTTATTTGATATTATCTACTTAACATTTCATCTTTATTTTCCCTATGATGTGACTTTTCAGTTATTATGTTTCTATTGTTATAATGAAGGGAAAAAAACTTTAAATAATTATTTAACCAAGTTGATATTTCCTGGGAGTTGAGGCAACTCCACCTGTAAGAGATCAACCAAGCCTTTGGC